CAACAAGCACTATAAACTGGATAGCAAAACATTATTTGCACATACTCTGTTTCTCTTAAGGAATTTCTCTTAAGGAATTGCTGCTTCAATCTGTTCTTGACTGTATAAATTATAATATGCAAACAGCAAGCCCTTTTCAGCACACTTTCTGCTGTTTCAGGGCATTTTGCACTAGATTTTTAAGAAGTCTTGATCTGCTGTACTAGACTAATGATAGTTTCTCCTTCTGAGTAATATATTATAGAAATGTAACCAAACTAGAGCAATCTAGTATACATTTGTGTAGACTAGAAATACACGACTCTGCCGATACCTTAATTTAATTAACTCTGGACTATTGTTCCCACGTAGCCAAATCCCGCGATTGTGAAAGTGATGACTTGAAGAAATAGGTATATGAAATAGTTGTTCTTTCCATATAGAAAGTCGTAGCATCCACAGATGAATAGAAATACAGCGAAGCCCAGCTCGTGTATTTGTATTCTGCACAAATATTAGTACACGAATCAGTTCACATAAACATTCAAACACATAGATACATGTGATTGATAAGTAAACACACTTCAAGAATTACATGTAAATTTCATTGTCATTTGTCAATAGCATAATAGTCGAAGGATTTTACCTGTCTCCGAGTTTAAATCTGAATTTTTTTGGTGCTGGTTTGGTGTTGGATTTGTTCTTGAGAGCATCTCCGAGTTTTTCAGTAACAACCCATTCGTTGACTCTCTTAGCCTCAAGCAGACCAATGATGGTAGCCTTGGTACGGTGAAAAGACATCACGTTCTCGAACAGGATCCAATAAAACAACAAATGGAAAGACCTGAAAAACAAGAAATTTTCATTAGTTAATCATATGGTCGCGGTTTTAACGCGAATTCAGCATTGCGTTTAGTAAAATGAACCCGACCTTGGAGTTCCGACTGAGTTTAGAGTTGTGATGATGCAGGGAATATAAATGGCTCCCCATTTCGGAACATCAACTTCTGGTACCAAAATTGTCAATGGGAGTACAACACAGTAAAAGAAGAAAGTGAACATGTGAGCTATGAGCTTCCTTACAAAGAAGAAGCTGTAGATTACATAAAACTTCTTCCATAGAGACACTTTCTGCCAAAAATCAGTAAAAACAAAAGATTTTGAGTTACTTGTACAGTAAACCAAAAGGCTATTACAAGATTTTCAAACAAACCTTATTCTTAGCAATTTCCATAACCATTTTTCTGAATAAATTGGCAGGACCACAAGACCATCGATGCTGCTGAAAACGAAAGGCCTTAAACGTACTAGGAAGCTCACTTTTCACCTAACGAGGAACCAAACATTAATTAGAAGTTGATGTACTGGGTTTTGTCGAATATTGTATTGTCATGTCATGTCTTGTCCTGTCCAGTCGTAGACATGTTCAAGACCAAGTACCCAATGTGACCTAAATGGATAAACAAACAAATCGACTAGACAAACAATTTGATTTAGTACCTGGAGGTCTCCAAGATAAAGAAATTTCCATCCCCTGAGACCAGCTCTTACAGCCAGATCCATGTCCTCAACTGTTGTTCTATCTTTCCACCCTCCTGCCTCATTGATTGCTGCTATTCTCCATATGCCACCAGTTCCTAAAATTACAAAATTTCGTTATAATTTTCTCCATTTTATTAATAACTATTACTAGCGGGTTGCGATTTTAGAATTTAAAAGTTACATTATTCGATATGCATCAATCACTTTTTGCTGAAACGAAAACAAAAAACCATTCACATAGTCAATCGACTCAATTCTAAATTTATCGAAAAATGTGATGAAATAGCTAGAGTTACCCTGTTACTTGTCAGCAGAATCCAATTTTGATTAACAATGAAGCTAGGCACGTGCATATATGCAAAATTGTAGCTTAAGCATCTTTAGTGTTAATTAAACAATTAATTAATTAATTAACTAATTAAATACATAAACTTACCATTGAAGCCAAAGAAAGCATGAGTAGATGATCCCACTTCTTGCTCGACCGTAAAGTGGTAATCCAACGACATTTCTTGCATTCTTGTCAACAAACACTCGTCAGAATTCACTGCAAAACCAATCAAGTTTTAAAAATTTCTGAGAATTGTACCTTGACATAGCGTGACATATGAACGATTCGATATCGACTTGTTACATTAATTTCAAGAACATTAAAATAATAGATAAGTCATGTAAGAACAACTTGCGATAAATATACAGACACAATCTGCCGACTGCCTGTGTACAATAATGTTAAGAATATTTTTATTTTTTGTTTTCTTGGGGGAGAGTGAGGAGTGAACGATGACTGGTGAGTGAGGGTCCACTAACGTGTCCGTCGGTACTGAGCCAGCGCATAATAGCACGTGGAGTAATATTGCGTCAAGGAATTTGACTGTTTCTTAATCGGTTTTAGTAAAAGACAAACCTACCCCGGATATGTAGCACTTCCACGCCTGCTAATCCGGGAGGGACCCATAAATTCGGGATATTTTCGTCATTAGAACGTGAATAATGATAGATATATTAAATAATAACAGGCTGACAACGCTGCACACTACTTAAAGATAGTTAAACAGGCTAATCAAGAGGGCTTTGCAAAATCAACGGAAGAATTAATATTTCATTCATTGACCCTTAAGAATAGGTATTTTATTTATCGTGTCCCTATAGAATATACATAAATGTTACAAATTAGTAATGATCATGAAACGAGTCTAGCCCATGAAAAAATTGGCTCGACTAGATCCATGGCTCGTCTCAAAACGAACCCAATCCACTCACTAATCGAATGAAGACGGGCTAAGCCGAAGAGATACTCAATCCGCTTACCACACCCAGTCATAACTAAGTGCTAGGTAAAGATTAGGTATTATTTTGTAATATTAAATCTTAGTTGTTAAACCCTACACCAAACCCACCCCACTTTATCGCCGTGATGTGTGGCCGATGGTCACGTAAATAGACCCATGTCATGAGTCTTGGTGGACCTCATGACTACACATGATTTTGCAACATTCCAAGAAGCACCAATTTAAAAAGATAAAAACAGACCAAAAGAATATATAATCAAATATATTTATTAAATTAACAATATGCCTAGACATTTACTTTTACATAATATACCACCGACACGATTAAGAGTGTGAGACTTACCAAATCTCCAACGAGCTTGTACGAGGGCAATATTGGGATTGTGCACTAGAAAAGGAACGGCTCGTTGAAGAAAATCTGGTTCGGGCCGAAAATCTGCATCGAAAATTACGACGTATTCACAATCTTTGACATAGTCTCGTTTGAGGCCCTCTTTGAGAGCTCCTGCCTTGTACCCTCCTCTCGTTTCTCTAATTTGGTACCTAATGTTGATGCCTTTGCTTGCCCATCTAATGCATTCTTTCTCAACCATATCCTACGACACGGGTTTAGATATTAATAATTACAAAAAAAAACAGCCAATAATAATGTCGGTTTTAGACACGTAATTAATGATATTCTCAAAAACTAATTAGTAATTAACATATTTATAATTATCCTACTTAAATTAGAAAAATAAACGTTAAAATATAGTTTTGAAAAAATAGTTTCTTCTTGTACGCAAGAATCACATTATGGATTTGTGATGTATACCTTGATTACAAGATCAGTAGAATCATCAAGTACTTGAATAATCAAACGGTCAGCAGGCCATGAAAGATTACAAGCTGCTCCAATTGAGATCTTATAAACCTGTCAAAAATCAAGAAAATGTCAGCAATTTTTTCCTCACATTCCAGTGTGTGTGAATTCGTGAGAGAGAAAGTAAACCTCTTTTTCATTGAACATGGGGATCTGAACAAGAACCAAAGGAAAAGCTGCATTGCCAATCTCAACATCATCACGCATTGGCTCCCATTTGTATCTCTTTTCGGGCTTTTTCATAAACAGTTTAACAAGGATTATAACGACTCCCATGTACAGCCTCTCGATGAACACCATAATGGACATGGCCAGGCATATGTATACAGAAATCCTCAGCAG